GTTTCAAGATGATATAATTTGGGGCCTACGCAATGGCATAACAGGTTATGCCTTCACCTGCAGCCCCAACATCCCATATGGGTGGCATTTTGAGTCCTATCTATCCCAGTTCTCGTCCAGCTCTCTGCTAATGGCCTAGAAAAGCAGCAAAGGATGGCCCAAGTGCTTGGGTCCCTGAACCCACATGGAAGATATGGAAGAAGCTTCTGGCTCCTGGCTTTGGACCTGCCAAGCTCTGGCCATTGCAATCACTTGAGGAATTAATCAGTTGATGGAAGATACCTCAGCTTCTTTCTGTAGTTCTGACTTTCAAATAACTAAAGCATTTTAAAAACAAAAAGAATGAAGATATAACTCATAAATAAAGTTCACTCTTTTAAAAGTTTGTAGTAGAATGCTTTCGAGTAAATTTACAAGACTGTACAACCAATATCAGTTCCCAATTCCAAAATATTTTTATTATTCCAGAAACCTCTCATTTCTAATACCCTTAGCCACTAGCTACTACTGATCTATCTTCTGCCTTAACAGATTTGTCTATACTGGATATTCCATACACATATACAATACATAGCATTTTGTGTCTGGCTTAGAGTATTTAACATATTTTCAATATTTCTATTTGTGTTGTAATATGTGTCAGAAGCCCAACTCTTTTCATTACTGTATAATTCATTGTATGGAAACCCTACATTTTGTTTATTGGTTCATACGCTGATTGACATTTGGGCTATTGCTATTTTTTGAACATAAATGAATAGTACAATTATGAATTTTTATGCACAATTTACAGGAATATATGATTATGCTCTTATGTATATTGCCATGAATGGGATTGCCAGACTATGTAGTAGTAGTTCATTCTTTTTCCTAACACATCTAATTTATTTTTCTTTTAAAAATGTTACTTTTTAAAATTATAATTCAATTTATTCTTTTTTTAAAGTTAGTATTTTTTTAAGATTATTTATTTATTTATTTTTATTACAAAGTCAGATATACAGAGAGGAGGAGAGACAGAGGGGAAGATCTTCTGTCAATGTTTCACTCCCCAAGTGACCGCAACGGCCGGTGCTGTGCCAATCCAAAGCCAGGAACCAGGAGCTTCCTCCAGGCTGCCCACATGGGTGCAGGATCCCAAGGTTTGGGGCCATCCTCGACTGCTTTCCCAGGCCACAAGCAGGGAGCTAGATGGGAAGCGGGGCTGCCGGAATTAGAACCGGTACCCATATGGGATCCCGGCGCATTCAAGGCGAGGACTTTAGCCCCTAAGCCACGCCACCTGGTCCAATTCAATTTATTCTTGATGATGTTCACATAATTGAGAGGGATGTATATCCATGTGGAATGTGGACTACCAATTATGTGAGGAAGGTCAAGGAATGGGGGAAAGTGGGTGAGACAACTCCCTCCAATCTCCTTTTCTCTTCCTGTTTCTGGAGAAAGTGGGGAGAGAAGGGCAGAAGGCCACGCCCAGCAGCCCAACTGCAGCAATACCTGGGGATGGGAGACAGTCACCTAATGTCATCCTAGGATAGCCAATGTGGAACATGTTCTGAGGATACTGCTTAAAACAGTTTTGATAGTTCTGAGATGCTGCTGATTTCATTGCTCCAAGGTTGAGAAAATCCTTCCAAGGTTCATTGGCTGACACAACCAACCTTAGAGTCTCGATTCAACCAGATGCTCATTGTCAAATCTTGACTGGGAGAGCTGTCTAATTTGTTCTGCCCTCCATGGTACTAGATGTCCTCTGCAGCCCTCAATGAACTGGTTGTCATATCCTCCCTAAGCAACTGGGCGTGCCATCCAAAACAAAAGCCTGAGCAACTGTGGAGCCCCAGTTCTGACACATGTACTCCATGATCCTGTCATTTTCATGTGGTTGGAGTTCTGAGTCCAGTGCTTCATACTTTCTGGATTTTTGACATTCCTCAACTTGCCATGCATTACGATCATCCAATATTGTTTTCTAGGATGACAAGGCCTAACAGGAAATAATTTAGGCCAGATTCCTCCATTCCTACAGGATATCCAGCATAGAGTGTATTGGGTACGTAGCATTCCTGAATTCCAGTGTCTTCATTTTTTGTTGTTGTTGTTGTTTGTTTTTTTAATTTTATTTTATTTTTAAAATGTTCACCACAAAGGTGAAGGGATTGTTAACTCCTGTGGGCCACTGCTTGGAATGGAGAGGGATGGGGGAAGAGTGGAGGGTTGTTGAGAGTAATGTTTCTGCCTTTCCTCGTGTGACTGTGGGGGTGGAAGAAAAGGGTGCACCTTTGTAGTCAGACTACATTAGTGCCAGAGGACGAAGATGGTCTCTTGGTGCTGCCTTGGGGCCCTTGGTGGGGCAGGTGGGGGGTGGGGAATGTTCTTGGGGGTATAACTTGAGTAGCTAGATAGATGAGTAAGACTGACATAGAGCAGGGGAGGCATAAGAGGCACAATCTCCCACCTGTGGCCCTAAGCCTACTGCATGGTTATCCTGAGTGTGACTCTCATCTAGTGGATCCTTATTGCTGGCTGGAGTCCTTTCCCTTCAGTGGCTATGACTGTGTCCTGCATCATCTTGATTGCTCTAAGATGTTGTTGCCCTCGTTATATAATATATGGCATATTCCATTTGTTCTTATTGGGGCTCTTTATTGTTCTCTGTATAAATTCTAAAGACTGTTAGTTGTCCATGTCTGCTTTAGAATGTCCACAGATCTGGGTGCTTTCTATAGAACTTAGCCTGAAATTTTGCACCTCCTGCTTTTCTTTCCACCCTTTGAAAACGTAGTTGAGGTTTTCTGTTGGATTAGAGGAGCCAGTTGTCTTGTCTTTCATGCTCAGTTGGGTATCTTCTTCATCCTTTCACGGGAGTCAGTAACAATGGTGGCATAGTCTCGCAACATGTGTTCTGTGGCCTGATTATGTCTGTGGAATGTTCCCTGAGATGGGGGAACCTGTCCGGTAAGGCACTCATTTTAGTCGGGGAGCCCATTCCCAAGGAGAGCATCCTACAGCCTTGCCCTCAGCCCCAGTTCTTTCATGTTCAGGTGGGTACTGCAGCTTAGTTTGGACCATTACCAGCCCTATCTCCCTTACATATCTGTAGATGTAGTGCCCTGGTCGGGAGTCTCCTCCAGAAACCCTACTAGGCTGGTCTCCAGCCCCAGTTCTTTCAACTGCCTATGAGCAGTGGTCTGACCCAGTTTCCCCCAGCTCTGTCTCTCACATACAGTGGTTGATGCAGTGGCCACTTCAGGGAACCCTCTTGAGCCCTTAATAAGTCATTCCCTAAAGGTTGGTCCTGAGTACACCTGTGAATGCTATAGACTGACCAGGCCCACCATCACCCTTGGCCCTTGAATGTACCAGTGGGAGCAGTGGCCCAACCCAGCCTGCACCCAGACCTAACTCTCTGGTGGGTGCCTCGGGCTGGTCTAGACAACCCAGCACCCTACCAGGCTGGTCCCCAGACACAGATCTTGCATGGCGGGTCTTGCACCTGGCTCCGCCAGCCTCCAATCCTGGCTCTCAAGTATGTGGCAGATGCTGTAGTATGATCTGGTCAGCTGCCAGCCAGGTTCTTGCATGTATCAGCAGGTGCAGCTGCCTAAATGGGGGTGACCCCTATAGACCCTTTCCTCAGACCTGGCTTGATCAGGCTCACCCCTGCCCCAACCCTCGCAAAAACCGATGGGTGTAGTGGCTTGGCCTGATCTGCCGCATAACCTGACTTCCACACTCGGCATATGCCTTGGCCTGATCAGGTTGACTCTCCATAACTCCTAGCAGTCTGACACCCTAATATAATAACTGCAAGTGTTTGCAGCTGCTGTGGCCTGGTTGAGTCGTTCCCTATCCCTGGATCTTATGTGCCGACAAGTGCTGTTGTCTGGCCCAGCCCACTCATATTCCTGTCCTCATATGCACCAGTGAGTGCAACAGTTCAGCCCCCAGGAGATACTCCAAGTATTCTCATCTGGCTTGCCCCCAGGTATAGCTTTCTTATGTGTCAGTATGTGTAGTATCTTAAACTTGGGAAACCCTAGGGGTCCCCCTTATCTGATCCATCACCTGTCCTAGCACTCTTACTCAGCTGCAGTTACAGTGGCTTTTTTTTGTGGAAGACCTTAGTTACTTTTATAGACCTCAAATATCCCTCAGTAATCCCCATCCACACTCTTCTTCCTTTCCTTAGTTTGCTGTGCTACAGCTATGGGGCACTGAACCCACAGGGCTTTTACCAAAAGGGCATGCACAGCTGCCTTGGGGTACCTGGGCCTGTCTATCATAAAGCCCAGTGTACTTATTTGTAAAGGAGCAAGCTGGAGGTGGATAGCAATGTGGATCTTATGTCATTGTAAGGATAAAATGAGATTCTGATGTGAAAGTGTTGACACGGGCAATGAATTATAAGTCCCTTATGTTGAATGTCACCTTCAGGCATGGGTGCCTCTGCACAGCACATGCTCTCCAGCAGTTTGCCACTATCCCTACTATTCTTATGAGCAGTGTATTTTAAGGTCTTACACTTTTCCTTTCTTATGATCCACACAGCAAATTATCCTTCTGTTACTGTTTATACAAAGTATGAGACATGGTATATTCAGATATGTATATAAAAAGCTCTATTAGTGTCACTCAGACTTTGGCGTATGTCATACTTCTCTTGAGAGCTTGCTCAACTATAAATTGAAAGTACAATTGTAAATTATATTCTGGGTGTGGAGAATGTATGCCACAGATCTTACACTCTCAAATTGCCCTGTCACAAGGAGTTTTACAAAAATAAATTCATGTTCTTAAAAAAAAACAATAGAACATACAATCTGAAAATTATGCAAAATGTTGAGCTATGGCTATGATCATTTCTTAATGATTGGTGTGGGACAAGAAAAAAATTTGTCCAAGGTAACTCAGGTTTCCAGTGTAGGTAGCTGGGATAAAAGTGATAAATTAAGAAAAAAATAAAACTGGGCAGAAAAATAAGATGACGGAATACAGAATTTTTTCTTTCAATTGTTTTATTCAGTTCAAACTAAGGAAAAAGTATTTTTCACAAAACAGATACAATTGCCATGCTGACAAAAATTCAGACTGAAGCAAAAACAATATTCAACTAGAAACACTTTAGTGAAAACACAGTAATGATTAAGGAAAAAATCAATCAGAAAAGCACAAGCTTGTAAATCAGTGGCCACATTATCAACTCAAGGAAATCTTTAGGGTTCAAGGTATAAGGCAAAAGTCATAATGATTGTCAGGTTCAGGAGTTTGGAAACGTAAATTATTTACCTGCAGTTGCCTAGACTTCTTCTTGATCTCCATCATTTGTTCTACTAATCTCTCTACATCGTCTCCAAATTCATGGTGAACAACATGCCGATTAGGTATGGCCCATCGAATTATAGGGGCAAGACGCCTAACTCGTCTCCACCTGACACTTCCTCCAGCTTTCTGGCCTTCACTTCCTCCCAAATGAAGGGACTCATCTACATACTGCACAGGGACATTCTCCCTTCCTTCGTTTCCCTTCTCAGCATTTTCCACGTTGAGATTTTTTACTGCTTGTTCCTTTTTGGACTCCATTTCTCCTAGAGAACAAAAACAAACAAATAAAAATTTTAAAAAAAAGATAGAAAGAAAAGAAAAGAAAAGAAAAGAAAAGAAAAGAAAAGAAAAGAAAAGAAAAGAAAAGAAAAGAAAAGAAAAAGAAAAGAAAAAAGAAAAGAAAAGAAAAGAAAAAGAAAAGAAAACCAGAGAAGGCATTGAATCAGCACCGAGGACAGGGGTCCTACTATGCACCTTCACAGATTCAGAAGCCTGGCTTTCAAAGGCCCCTGGCAACCCTTGGGCTCGGCACCTGAGCGGCCTGGTGAGTCCTCCAGGGAGCCCCCCCGGTGGGAGCCCCTCCCTCCCCCAAAGACCACCATTTTCCCTGCAGACCCATCTCCAGGCTTGAGCAGGCGCAAAAATGGAGGACGACGGGAAGGGCAAAATGGGGGGAATGCGGCGGGATGGGGAGGCACGGGTCGGTGGAGGGGTCTGGGTCCTGACGGGCTTTCAGCACGCTCCTCGTCCCCGACCGTGTGCCGCACCGACCTGGGCCTATCCTTGTGGTCTCCTCCTCCTCCGGATTCTCGCCGCCGCCGCAACACTCAGCACCTGGGACCTGCGGATGGCGAGACATGGGAGAGGGGGTTGCTCAACTCCGCCCTGCGGGCCGCTTCCCCGCCGCCCTGGCCGCGCGCCTCGCCCCCTTGGCCTCCCTGGCCGCGCGCCTCGGTCCTTCAGCCACCTGGGTCGCGCGCCTCTGTCCCTCGGCCTCCCTGGCCCCGTGTCTGGGTCCCTGGCCTCCCTAGCCCCGCCGGCCCCTTCCCTGCCGTCCCCTTCCACGCGCCTCGCCCCCTCGGCCACCAGGGTCGCGTGCCTCGCCCCCTTGGCGCCGCGCAACCTCCTACCACCTGGAGACCTGGAGGCGGAGAGGCGCGCAGCGCGGGTCGTTATGGCTGGCGATGGCAGGTGTCCCCGGGGACAGCAGCCTCGGGACCGCCTCTCCAGAGGGGCCCAACTCAGCCCTTGCAAGGCCGCCCGCGGCCGGAGTCCATCCGCGGGGCCGTGGCACAGAAGGCCCCCACCCCGCGGTCGCCCCCCGAGGCGCCCCCACCCCGCGTCGCCCCCCGAGGCGCCCCCACCCCGCGTCGCCCCCCGAAGCGCAAACGCCCCAACCCCGCGGTCGCCCCCCGAAGCGCAGACGCCCCCACCCCGCGGTCGCCCCCCGAAGCGCCCTCACCCCTCGGTCACCCCCCGAAGCGCAGACGCCCCCACCCCGCGGTCGCCCCCCGAGGCGCCCCCACCCCGCGGTCGCCCCCCGAGGCGCCCCCACCCCGCGGTCGCCCCCCGAGGCGCCCCCACCCCGCGGTCGCCCCCCGAAGCGCAGACGGCCCCCACCCCGCGGTCGCCCCCCATGGCGTCTCGGTCGCCCCCTCGCCCCGTTCCTGGGCACCAGGACGCCTGGGGTGGGCGTGGGCAGCCGGGTCGCTCTCCCACGCCAGCCCCGGGAATCCCGCTCGGGCCGCTCACCTGCTGGCCTCCCGCCTGCTCGCCTCCGCTCAGGATCCCGGCCGGCAAGCCTCGGGGCCACGGGGCTAGGCAGTCCCTGGAAACAGGCCGAGGACTGCCGCTCCTGACGCGAGACAGAGGAGACTGAGAGTGGCAGTGACGTCAGGTCTCTGTCACCCCAACGGCCACGCCCCTCCCGCCTCCGGGGAGCTGGGTGGAGCTTGAGGGCCCGCCTCTCGCGCAGGGAGCCTCATTCTGAGTCCCTTTGATGTCATCAGTCTGGGCCCTGTCACTCTCCCTTTCTTGAGTATTATTCCTGGGCCGTTCTCTGTTGGGGAAGGAAGTATCTTCCCTGGGACTGTTGCCAATTCCCACTTTCCTTATCTTTTTCCAGGATTTTCCCTTGTCCTACCATGGCGGCCGTACAGAATTACGGGGATGCAAAAACAAAACAAAACAAAAAACGCAAACAAATAAACAAAAATAAATATCAAGATTCAGGAAAAACCAACATTGTAATGCAACTTTTTAAAATCTTTTTGTTTGTTTAATAATCTTACTTAGTTGATTATGGTACAAAGGGTCAAGGGCTACAGGAAAGTGGGTAATACCATTGTTTCCACACTAATATCATCACTTATTCCCCCCTGTATCTGGGGTCAGGTAGAAACCAAGGGAGAAGCCTCAGCCAGCCCCCCACCCATCCCAGGTCCCCGATGTGGGGCAGGCTCCAAACGTCCTGCTCAAGGAATTTTGATAGTTCAACAGTTCTGAATTGCTGCCAATCTCGCCGTTCCAATCGCGATGAAACCTATTCAGAATCCACTGGCTGACATAATACAATTTATTTATTTTACTTGATAAAGTTACACAGATTGAAAGAAAGAGATCTTCCACGTACAGGTGCACTTTGCAAGAGACTGCAGTGGTTGGAGCTGAGCTCATGCAATGCCAGGAGCCAGGAGCTTCTTCTGAGTCTCCCAAATGGGTGCAGGGTCCTATGGTTTTGGACCGTTTTCAACAGCTTTCCCAGGCCACAAACTGGGAGCTGGATGGGAAGTGGAACCTCTGGGTCTCAAACCATCGCTCATCCATCTCTGCATCTTTCCTTCTGTTTGTGTAACTCTACCTTTCAAATAATAAAAAAAGTAAATCTAAAATTTGATTAAGTGCACTGTGTGTATGTAAGCTGTATTAGTGTACTGTAGGATTCTAGGTCATCACTCACCACTCACTACTCACTGACTCACTCACACACAGTATCAGTCCTGTAAGCTCCATTCATGGCTAAGTGCGCTACATAGGTGACCATTTATAATCGTTTATATCATTTTTTAGCTATATCTTTTCTATGTCTATACACAGAAATATTCACCATTGTGGTACAATTGCTTATAGTATTTGGTACACTAACATGTACTGGTTTGTAGGTCAGGAACAATGAGCTACACCATACAGCCTAAGTGTATAGCAGGCTATATACCACTTACTTTGTGTAAGTAGAATCAGTGATAAAATCATGTGTTCACACAGTAATAAGATTGCATGATAGGAGCCAGTATTGTGGTATAATAGGTGAAATTGTTATCTACAATAAGGGCATCCTACATGCACAACACAGTGTGGAGGATTAGCTTTCTGTGCCACCATGGCAACACCTGTAGGCTAAATTTCTAGAGGTAGAATGACAACATTCAATGGAGGCTTTACTGTTTCACTGAAATAATGCTTTAAACAGACTTATCAAATAGCTAGAACTTTAATAAAATACAGAATTTAGAAATTATTAATATAGTATGAAAATGCTTATAAATCTCTTTTTACTCTCTCAAAATACTTGTTTTCTAGTGGCTCAAAGGCATCTGGGAGATTGATCCACAACAACCAATTCTCAGTGCAATATAATGTGTATGAAAAACTGAGCTAGTTAAATACTAAAATAAAAATAGACGAGACAGCTGAATAGTAATCTATAGCCATTTTGAGGTGTATGGAATCACGTTGAATACAAACCAAAATTGAAATGTCTATGAAGAAGTCACAGAATGTAGTTTAGAACCCACATCTTCCTATCAACATACTATTAATCAATGTCATGTCAATTAATGCCATGAGGTTGTAAATGGCTGTTTATGTTATGTCGGGGCTTTTAATTGATTGGGATGATGCTTTGCTGGCTTTACCTTCAGACCAGAGATGGTCTCACCAAGAAATCGTTGAACCCACTAGGATATATTCCTAGGAGTGCTATTGCTGGGTCATATGGCATGCTGATTTTCAATTGTTTCAGTATCCTCCATACTGATTTCCATAGAGGCTGTACAAGTTTGCAGTCCCACCAACAGTGGAGTAGGGTTCCCTTTTCCCCACATCCTCGCCAGCAAGTGTTGTTGGTGGTTTTTTGTATGTGTGCCATCCTTTCTGGCGTTAGGTGGTACCTCATTGTTGTCTTCATTTGGATTTCCCTTATTGCCAGGGAGCTTGAGCATTTTTTCATGTTTGTTTGCCATTTGGGTTTGTTCTTTTGTGAAGCGTCTGCCCATTTCCTGGGCCCATTTCTTGAGTAGTTTGTTTGTTTTGGTGCTTTGGCTGTTCTGTAGATCTTTGTATATCCTAGAGATTAGCCCTTTAGAGACATTTTCAATAGATAAAGTGGATAATCTGTTCTTGAAGGGCTATATTATTGTAATAAAATAGGGGAAATCAGTGAGGGGGGAAATCCCAGAGCCTTTGGAACTGTATCATAAAATAAATTAATTATAAAAAAGGTGGATATTCTACAGAGGCAAGTGTTTAAAGTTTTGTCAACCTAACTTGCATATCTAGAGTAAATCCCACCTGTTCATAGTGTATAATTTTTAAAATATTTTACTTACATTATTTATCCAGAAGGTTTGTGTGGGTGGAGAGAGAATTAATCAATCTTCTATCTGCTAGCTCACTTCTTTCCTTTTTTCTTTCTTTCTTTCTTTATTTCTCTCTCTTTCTCTTTCTTTCTTTTCCTTTCTTTCTTTCTCTCCTTCCTTCCTTCCTCCCTCCCTCCATCGCTTCCTTCTTCCTTTCCTTCCTTCCTTTCTTCCCTTCTTCTCTTCAGATTTATTTACTTTTACTGGAAATGCAGATTTACACATAAAAGGAGAGACAGAAAAATCTTTCATCTGCTGGTCAACTCCCCAAGTGGCCACAACAATAGCTGAGCAAATGCGAAGCCATAAACCAGGAGATGGGAGCTTCTTTCATGTCTCCCATGCAGGTGCAGGGTCCCAGGGCTTTGGGTCATCCTCTACTGCTTTCCTAGACCACAAGCAGGGAGCTGGATGGGAAGTGGAGCAACCAGACACAAGTTTTCTCCCAAATGGGATCCTAGAGTTTGCAAGGTGAGGATATATCACTGAGCCATTATGCTGGGCCCACTAGTTCACTTTTCAAATGAACACAACAGCTGGGGTTAGGCAAGGCTGAAGCCAGGAACTGGTAAATTTCTTAATTCCTTTTTTTTTTACAAATACATTAAGATTTTGAAAAATGTATTTTAAAGGTAGAGTTACAAAGAGAAAGGAGAGGACAGAGAGAGCTCTTCCACATGCTGGTTCACTCTCTAAATGACCACAACAGTCAGACCCAGGCCATTCTGAAGCCAGGAGCCTGAAGCTGCTTCCAGGTCTCCCACATGGGTGTAGGAGCCCAAGGACTTGGGTTATCCTAAGCTGCTTTCTTAGGCACATTAGCAGTTTAACTGGATTGGAAGTGGAGTAGCCAAGACTTAAGCCAGCACCTATAAGGTGTGCTGTGCTGCAAGTGGTAGCACCACCTACCATACAGTTCCAGCCCCAGGAACCAGTAACTTAATCAGATTCTCTCACGTGAATGGTAGGGACTGAAGTGCATGAGCCATCATCTGCTGTTTCCCAGGATTTGCACTAGATGGAAGTTTAAATTGAAAGCAGACACAGGACTTGAACTCAGGAACTCCAATATAGGAGTCAGGCATCCCAAGAAGCATTTTAACCACTGCATCAAATGTCATATAATTCTTTATAATAAATTCATTTTATTTTTGATTATGTTTACATAGAAGGATGTATGCC